GGGGGGGGGGGGGCAGCGCAGAGCGGAGGTCAGTCAGGACCAGAAAGCTACATTATAGAGTGAAGTCATGCAGTTACACAAATATCAGGAGAAATAAATCACTGTGTGAGAGTCACAGGAGGCCAAAGCGGGAAACACATTAACAGATGTTTAATCCAAGACATGTTACTGCTAGGAGAAGAAATGTAACAATCATAATAGGTTTATACTTGCTCAACTTATAGTAAACTGAAAAGATTAAAGTTAATTCTGCTATTTTGTGGTACGAAACTGTTTAGGTCGGTGGCTGTAAACTCCTAGTTTTATGATTTCACCTTTATGTTTCACATTACTGACCTCTACTGCTTAAGACTGGCATTGCAGCAACATCCTGCAGGCTCTTGTTTGTTATTCCTTTATGAACCAGATATTTCTTTACTATAGTACTGGCATTGCGTCGAGGTGATATTAGGTGATATATATATAATATCTTACATCCTAATAACACAAATCTTGGCTTTAATTTATTAAGAAATAATCTGAATGAAGTTTCATATTTCATAAAGAAAAGTAAAGTTAGTTTGAGATTCAGCCACGAAAAATAAACAAAAATGATTTAAAGAAAATGGTAAAAATAGGTTTTCAGGATAGAGATATTTAAACAGTGGATGAAAAGAGAGCATTATGGGTCAGTGTGCTGCATGGCAGGTGATTAGTGAACAGTTCAATTAGTAACCCACAGGTATAAAATACTTTTGCAGATGGTACCCGGCATTTAGATGACATACTGTAGTTAAATACACAATGCTTTATGAAGTTGAAGACATAAGAGGATACAGGGAACCCTGTTGATGCATGGATGATGTTCCCATGGGCATGGAGGCTTTTGCTAATAATGTTGAAGAGAAAGTAAGAATAGTAGAGGAATGACAGAAATTCCCATCACCTTGACCAGCACTTTTTTTAAGAATACCAAGATTTATAAAGATTTATTTATGATAGAAGTAATAATAGATCAATATGCACTTAACCATCAATACAAAAAAAGTGTTTTAATTAATGTCTTATTCCTTTACGTCTTTAGAAATAAATCTTGGCTTTCTTTTAGTCTGTGTTGGAGAATTAGGAAGTCGTTGGTTGTCCAAAACCACATGCAAGGAATTAAAAAGGGACACACTGCTTTGGAAATTGAAGCCTTAGAAAGTGTTACACATCATTTCCCATGAGGCACTGGGGCTAGAGTCTTAACCATGCAGACTCAGCCAGCAGGTTAGGAAGAGCACAGAGCCAATGACGTTACCCGGCCGGGGGGGGAAGGGGCGGGGCTTACCAGGGCTTCATTATCTTCTGTAGTTTCTGATAGCGTCTGCAAAGATTTAAAAAACTTTGGTGTTAAAGATGGAAAACAAACAACTCAAACCTATTAACCAGCTCACAGCAGGGATCGAAAGACAACACAATCATGGTGTCAAGTTAAACTGCTAAAACATATGACTTATTGTATAAATTCAGACAGAAGCAACCTCAATATTTAATTTAACATAAACGTTTTGCTGCAAACCTTCCTGTCACACAGTGTTTCGGTAGAGAAGACAATGCACAGACATGATGAAACAACATTTTCATTAAACCTGTAAAGATACAAACTATGTTATGAATGAAATGCTGTGCAATTTTACTTTCACATCCAAATAAAAAAACTCAATGCAGTGGCGTGTCCTAGTTACTCTGTTTAGCCCAGGCTTTCCAGGGACTATTTCTTCAGTAGAAAGTAGTTCCAATGAAATGTTTGACAGCCAATTCTTTTTTTAAATGTGATTTCTCTAAATACAATTGCAAATCAACCTCCCTTGTATTTGCGTGGGAGCAGAACTCTCAGAGACATTGCACGAAAATATATAATTAGTGGGAATCAGAAAAGGTTCTCTTATTTTATTTAAGTAGACCGAAAAACTCTACTAAAATCCCTCTTCCCATTACTTACACTGTTCATAAGCTAGTTGAAGTTGCACTGTACATCCTAATCACATAAAGTCAAAGCTTTAAATGTTTCATGTTCCAGTCAGTAGAGGGCGATATCTGCCCTTCACTGGTGTTGCTTCTGTGGGCAACGGGCTGCAGTGTGCCAGCTCATTTCCACATGAATAAAGTACAACATCTCTGGCAGAAGCACTCGATCACAGCACCGCTCTGCCCTCGAGAGTCTCCAGGACTGAGCCTCTTGAATAATTACAGTTCACCAAGTTGGTTGGCAGGCACACTAATGAGTGTGTGTGTTCTTGTGTGTGTCAGACACTGATACCTATCTGCATGTCTGTTTCATAAGCTCCTTCTGTTGAGATGGAAATGCAGCAAAGCCTCTCTCTCTCTCTCTCTCTCTCTCTCTCTCTCACTCACTCATCACTCATCACTCACTCACACACACACACACAAACACACAGACACACCACTATAAAACTCTCCAGTGCTGAATAACTGATGTGATGGTAATCTACATAAAAATATACTTGATGAAAGAGCCAGATGAAGAGTGGAGTCAACATCAGTGCTGCTGTGGTGGCTCCTGGCAGTAAGATCAAACGAGGGTCAAATATTTTCTAATTCGAACATTATTTGCAAAAAGAGGAGAAGGCTTCAATGATTTCCAGTCAAATTGTCAAAGTGAGTGTAATGTAAGCCGTGTCATACAGAGAAACTGTTAAGTGGTTGCTGTTGTAGAGGAGATGTTAAATATCTGATTGTTATTTGAGCTTCGAAGCACATACAGTACAAAAAGATAAGGCGCATGAAAGGACGAATCATTTTGGTTTCATTGGAGGTTTGTTCACGTGAAGAATCCAGCACAAATAATAGTTTGCAGAGCTTTGCAGAGCCCCGTAAAGGTCTCAGTGTGTGCTTGTGTCTTGAACTCAAGTGTTTGGGTTTTTCTGGTGTGCATGAGTAAGGGCGTGCTTGACCTCGTGTGAGTGTTAGTTTACAACTCGAGTGTGTCTTAGAGCCGACTCATTATGCAAGCAAACATTTCTTCAATCTATTTCGTCTCTCGCTGGGGCAAAAGGGATGAATAATGAAAGTCGCATGAGGCAGAAAACGAGAGCGTCTCAGGCTGCCGCCCTCCCTGCCAGTATGCACCGTATGTCTGCACGTTTGCACTCCGACTGTAGCTATCCTCTGGGCTTTCACTGTGGCTGGAGCCTCGCAATCACAGTTTGCTAAGAGACACACACAAACACAAACACACACAAACACACACAAACACACACCTCCCACTGGCATCATGGATGAGAAATTCCACCTCAGCGAAAAATGTCCTCACTTTAACCTTCATTTGAGACAGTCTCCAGGGCACCCCACTCGCAACACACACACACACACACTTTTTGGATCTGCTGAACAGTCAAAAACCAGTGCTCTGTTCTCAGTCAGTGGTTAAATATCACCATCATTGTCAAAAAGTAAAAAAAGGAGCCCTTAGGCATGTTCTTCACAAGCCAATTCTTCTCTTTTTCTCTGTGGATTAGCAGTACGCTCAACTGTACGCAACTACATTTTGCCTCTTCAAAAAAGATTTTACATAAAGACAGAGAGAACTGTGAATGGTCAGGTCAGACTCCTTGTGTTTTCATGATACAACTAATGCCGGTATATATTGTTGATAGGGAAGACGACATCAACAAGATTGAAAGAAATCTCAGTGTTGTTCTCCCGTTTGGTTTGATATCTCACAAAACAACATGTATTTTTACTCTAAGGCATTGAAGTAATGTGTACAGGATGCTTTCTATCAGTGATTGCACAGCAGCAGTTTTCTTTTCAGCAGCTAGACAGTCACAAGGGGAACAATGGAAACAAGATGACTTCAAGCAACACAGACACAGCTTGGAAATGACACGTCTATCCAGTATTGTTTTCAAACACTACAGCATGCTGATCTACCATCAATTCTACAAAGGGCCAGCTGTAACCCATGATGCAAATGAATAGATCTAGAATGATTAATAGGATGATTTGACAAGTCAATCAGATGCGTTTGAGCTTAACCAATCAGAATGCACAGTGCAACTCCAAAGAACTCATCCTGGCCTTAGAGCTGTATGGGTGGGATACTCTTCAAACTAATGATTACCAAGAAATGGACAATAACTCCAGAAAGCCAGATTGGATGAGAAATCATGAGCAGAGCTCCCACTGTAAATCTATATTCTTCAAAGTGTTCCATATATCTCTATGACACTCATGACACAAAGAGGAATGAGAAATGGTGTGAGGGTGAGAAAACCACTACAGTGGAGTAAATCGATATCATCGAAAGAGATAGAGATAGAACATTGACTCACTCTGTCCCACTCTCCACCATCTGAGTGAGCAGGGAGATGCCGTCCAGGTTGATGAACTCTTGAGCGAAGGTAATGTCCCTCGAGGCGTTGGCCAGGTCCTTCAGAGACTCCAGCTTGGCGTCCATGCTGGTAGACTGGATCCGTTCGTGAAGCTGGACTGCAGTCTGGTACTAAAATGGGACAATGTGAGGGGGGACATGCATTTAAAAATACCCTGGGATGGTTACAATTAAAAGAGGTTTCTCCCTTCAGCAGAGTCTTACTCAAAAAGGACAGTATTCTAAGAAATGAACTTACAGGAGAGGTGGTCAAGCGCAGAATAGATCCATTCTTTATGTCATTGCGATTCTGTGAAGATTAACCAAGATAAAAGAGGTAAGTGAACACCTGAGGCACGTTTTTCTCTTACCTCGGATACTGCTGGCTAGAGTTAAAACAGATAACCAAACCTTTTCTGTGATGTAGAAATTTGTGGCATCAGCAATCTGCAGAGCAAAGTTTTCATGGTTCCCCAGGGACCACCTAAAAGCCATTCAGTGGAGAGGGGGGAAAAACCATTCGCATAATTGGTATTAAATGTGGAGAACATCTTGTGTAAAATACAGCTAATAGGATTTATTTATGGAAATCCAGAAAGAAGGGTTTTGTAAGAAGCCTTAGGCGAATTACTTTCAAATTCAAAAGGCATGCACACTTACCCCTCACACACTTCTTTAATGATGGCTGAGAGAGGCTTTTTCTGTGGGGAAAGGCAAAACTACATTTAGTCCACAGTTTCTAAAACAGTATTCAAGTCAGAGTCCGCTGTAATTATTTTTATATTACAGGACTGGCACAATGAGAGGCTGGCGTTCAGGAGCCTGTGTTTAACCGTCCGACTTCTGATGTGGGATCAGTGACCATGTCTGTGTTTCATTGGATGTGAAGCTCTTTCCAGATCAGCGGCTGTGACACTCTGCTCCACAGAGGTCGACAGCAACCAAGAGGCTTCACTCACAGTACTTTTCTACAATAAGTTCAAGATAGAGGCTTTTTGACTTTACTTCCCTTCCCTTCGTGTCCCTTCTTCGCTCAGTTGCACAATAGCTACACCATATTTTTGGCAACAAAAAGCTCAAGTCCTAGGCTCCTCCAACAGCGCAACATACTTAAGAAATAAAGCAGTGTCTTCAGAAGAACGTCCACAGGATAATCAATAATCTATTCTATGAAACACTGTATTTTGGACTATTTTGCATCTTATTGAGTCAACTATGGTAAGGCTGGTTATGTTTAATCATTTTTGATGTCCTTGCCAATGCGATACACATGTTTAGGTATTAAAGTAAATCGTTTTGACATTTTGTATAATGATGTTCTCACTTATACTGCCCAAATGTCGCAATGGGTGCTTTTCATTAAGTTAACTTCCTCCTTGCTTCCCTCACGGAGAGGAGAGGAAGCCAAATCTGCCAAATGGGAAATCTATTTTGACAGCATCAGTTTTAAGCAACATAAGTTTCTAATGACGTGCTGCAGCTTTGTGTCACATGTGGAGGGAAGACATTCATACGCCAAGCGATGGAAAAAACTTATTTGTAGGGTACACTGGGGTTTCCTTGCTCCAAGCTCCTCCAGAAACCTCCTCACTCCTCTTCCCCTCGAGGTGGGTTTAAGAGGTTTGCTTAAGATCCTCCAGGTCGGAGTTAAATTATGGGAAATCCAGCAATTGAGGAGCTTGACCCGTACTAGATAGTTTTCTCTCTATTCTGTCCTTGGTGAGTTGTTGTGAATGTGCGATGCTCAATCTCTGGAAAGATGGGTAAGGGTCTCCCAATGTGCGGAACATAAGCTTTTCTAAAGTCACAAGTGTGTGCACAAACTCACACAGCTACAAATACGCACACTACCAAACACACAGAGAAAATAAGTTAGCATCTGTATGCAGTCACAGTGTATGAAACATCATGAATGTCCGTGTGATTGTGTTGTTGTGTCTCTGGGAATTACCCAGAAGAGGCTTCTTCAAAAGAACAAAAGCTGAAGTGATGAAGATGTACAGAGGGAAGAGAGTGGTGGCAGGATGATGGGCACACAGTATATGGCAGGGGAACAAAGGCAGAGGGGGGACAGAAGAGGAGGGAGGGGGTTTATGTGAACAAAAGATAAGAAAAGTGAGAAATATGCAAACTGAATGAGATGAAAGGAAAACAACAACAAACACAGGAAGCCGGAGAGTGGATGATAATTGTTAGTGAGAGCAGGAGAGTGGTTGCTGAACACAGAGAGCGACGGATTAAAGGAAAATTAAGAGCAAGCAAAGTACATATGGAGAGGTGAGGCAACAAATATAAGCAGTGTGTGTGCATAATGGCATACAGTATTAACTTAGTCTCCGCTCGCTCGCCACTGCTGTCGTCCTCAGGCTCTCTGGGAGCTACAGTATACAGTTAGACTGCAGTGAATACACACACGCATGGACGGGTTTAAACAAGCTAATTTAGGACATTTTTCATGTTCAATAACAATGCATTGGTATGTCCTGAAAACTCTCTGACGATAAAATATCGATAAAATCACAAATGTACACGATGCAATACAGTATGCCACACAAACGTGTAGGAACATCATTAATCTAGATTTTTACAGCAAATGATCGGTACGTCATGGATCTGCTTCAGCTTTCTTGATAGCAAATTATAAAAATGCTCCATCATCAAAGAAAGCGCAAAGGTTTGCAATATTTTTAAAGACGTTAAACCACTTGTGCTTGGCTTGGAGCAATCCCTTCTCTCATACACGATCAAAGCTTTTCCCAAGCTTTTTGAACTGTATTATTAATAAACTAATACATATACATTTGGGGCGGTTAATTTTGGCAATTATGTGGCTATTAATTATAAATATATATTTCTTTATTTAATACAATATTAGCACATGTGCAAAACTTGTAGAAGTTATTAGGAAAACATTTCACTTAAATTAGTTTAATGTCTTGCTTCTGTATTACTTGTGCTAACCTTAAATCTCTTTCCATGTGAGGCCCTTTCATATGTACTCTTCTATCAAATTGTATTCTCAAACAATTACTATCGGATGAGCTTTTTGTTGCTATTTGTAAGTGTTTCAGCTGTACGTTCGAATATTTGTTCTTCTTGTTTGTGTGTAAGTCTCTTTTGAAAAGGTCCTTTACTCCTAAATTAAACCTCAACAGAGATGTGTTTGTTTAAGATGGATTCAAAATATCAACATCATCATACACAGCCTGTTTTAGCTAAAAAATCATTTAGTTGAATTTAAATCTAGCATTAAAGGTAGGGTAGGTAATTCACTTCAGAAACACTTCTTGTTATATTCCATGCAATGCTCTTAACATCCCGATAGCAATGAATACATTAAATGCTTTGACAATAAATACATAAAAAAATGTCATCAGTGTAAAAAGCACGACCAATCATCTGAGCCGGCCCGGCTAAAATAACTGGATGGCCTACCTGCCTGTCAGCCTTCCATCAAAATGACCTACCCCGCCTTTAACCTTAATTCATTTATGTTCATCTTTTCACCTCTGAGGACTTTACCAACGCTTTTATCATCCAGGAGTTTCAGCACCTCCACTTTCCCTCTACTCGTCTTTCCTACTGCCCTGTTTGCACTCCCACAACATCTTCCTCACTACTACTGCAACCCACAAAGTAAGGAGTATTCACCTTGTGCGTTGGAAAACATGTGTATGTTTGTTTGTGTGTATTATATATTGAATTCAACTTATATTAAGGTTTTTTTTTTACCATCTATGAGCTCCTAAGCTCCTGTTATCTGACACAGAGTCTCTTTGTTAGTGGAAGGATAACAAGTACACTTCCTTCAGTTGCACAACACTCACACTTCACCAGCTAGTACCAATGACTGATGGCAGCATTGTCACAACAGACATTCAAACCATTACGACACACAAGGATGCATTTTGTTTTGAACTTCTTGAACGGATTTATTTCCTTCTAGATTCAAAAAGTATGCACAAACAATTCCCAGCAATGTCCATCAGGAATTCAATAATTAAATCTCATTTTGGGTTTCTTAACAAGTTTTGTTTTTGACTGATTTAGCGACTAAAGCATGTTCAGCAGTAAAACAACTTATATTTGACAGATGATCACAATGAATAATGAGCCTCTAGATCATTTGTATCTGATTGTTCAGTTCCTGTCAGCTCTACACAGCCTTTCAGCTTCTAACAGCTCATCCTTTTCAATTTTCAGATGTAACGTTATTGTTTTGAGTCACTCTAATCACCCTCTATTGTCGTCTGAATGCATTCAAAAAGCTCTAATAAACCCACTGTATCCTAGCCTGCTCAGCATCACAGCAGACAACAAAGTAAGCGATTAGCTGTTTAATATAGCTGAGCATTTAGAAGCTAAGATATTTCCCTGCAAAGTTGGTGGAGAACAAAGCAGAGGTACAAACCGAGTGAAAAACTGGACTTAGTTTCATTATATGGCCACAGTAAACTCTGGATACACTGAACATTGTTTTTCCTTGGAATTGTCCTGCTTATATATTCTCAACCGACAGACATCAGCTCACCTTTTCCTCTACCTGCTCTCTATTACATTTCTAAAAAACAATAACATTAAAATGCTTATTACAATTGCCTGCACTTATACCAATTTCCCAGCATCCAAACTCAAATGTCATACTTTCATGCCCATGGGGTATTGAAGGTATTTCGAGAGATGCAGTGTTTTATGGACACACACACAAACACACACACAAACACACACACACACACTGCAGAGGAGCAAACACACAGACAACACACACACACACACACACACTTTAAGAGTAAACATATCCCCGAGCACAAGGTAAACATTGTTTGGGTTAATTATTTTGTTAACGTGTCAACCACTGTTTGAGAGACGCTGATGATCTCTGAAATTTAATGCACCCTTTTTCTGTGTGTGCTGGCATACACACTCAAAGCCTCTGATCAGGCAATTGGCATCATTATGAAATTGGGGTATTGCATTTCTTTTCAACTATATATTAATGGTAGTGTTGAAAATGTTAAAGTCAATCATTTTCACCGTGATCTACAGCAGCCTTGTTATGTAAATCAGTGAAATTTGATTTTCTTTTTTTAAATGCAGTGTTTCTCAATCATTTTAATAAAGTATGGCTTTTTAACTGAAGTTACACATAGGTAAAAGTTAAAACTCAGATACATTATCTACACTTAGTAAAGTCTTTATGGGTAGCCTAATCATTCTGAAGCCTGTTAAATACACATTTCATTACAGCTTACAGGTACCTGTTGTTATGAACTACTTAGTTGCTTTATATACTGGAAATGCCGAATCAGAAATATTGTTTTCATGAGCGTTAAATATAAATGTCATATCCAAAAAAATTTGAAGATTTATCTGTAATAGATGCAAAGCCATAAGCTGGAAATATCCTCAAAAAACAACAAACACCACGCTTTGTTTGTATTGTTTAACTACACAAAACACATCTGCCGTTGTACAGTGTGTTGCAGAGAGAGGTGCCTTTTCAAATGATCCTTAGTTAGGGAGTTTTCTGTAAGCTGCCGTCTGCACACAGCCAGACAAAATATTTAAACATTTATTTTAGTCATTATAAAATTCATAAACTAAAGCCAATGCAATCTTCTCAAACCGGTGTCATTTTAACGAATGAAAGCAGCACTCGAGGGCAGCTTTAAATGTCAAACATGCCATCTAGAGGTGTTGTTTAAAGTCCTTTCATGAGAGATTTGTTAGCGTCCAAGCTAAACACTTCCAAGTATTTTGCCACAACTGATCTTTTATCTACGTGCACCTATCCGATAGATCTTTCTACCCTGATAATGACCAACGTAGAACGGGCATTATACTGCTGAGACACAAAAATGAACTAAACATTTAATAATATAGGCCTTAATTTATGGTGTAAGATGAAAGCCATCAATTATAAAGCATTATTCTGTAAAGTGATGTCAAAGCTGTGGCGACTGTTAAACATCTTTAATTAAGGCTTTTCCTTTTGGTAATTAGTGTAATTGCTAGGAACAAAGATATCTCTCTCTCTCCCCCCACACACACACACACACACACACACACACACACACACACACACACACACACACACACACACACACACACACACACACACACACACACACACACACACACACTATAGTACTAAGTTGTTTGTGTGCTCAGACACCTACCTGGTCTATCTCCATGAGCTTGGGGAAGGCCCCTGGCCATTCAATGGCCACCTTCACGATGTCTGCCGGCGGCGGCATGGCTGAGGGGGGATGGGGGTTTTCGGTCTCTCTTACTCACACCTCTGTCACTGCTGCTGGAGGAAGCTCATCCAAACCTGCAGGACAAGAGTGAAGGAGAAGGAAAGAGAGACGAGAGGGAAGAGACAGAAAATGGGGCACATTAGTCAAGAACTCTGGTTACTTCAGGTGTTTGTTTGCATTAGCATCCTCCAAATACGAAGAGTATTATATATGACTATGGAGAAAGGTCAACAAGAACAATGCTGAAAAATACATAATGCATGGGTACAGTGAAGCACTCTGCAGATACTCCACAGTAACTGATTTAGCAGAAGCAGCTCAAACATTTAAAGCTTCAGAGAAAATCAGCAAATTGACCTACTTTCACCACTTTACTCTTATGGGTACGGACACACATTCACACACAAAGGCTTCTCACATTATCAGGAGCATCTGAGGGAAGGTTTCTCGGCTGTAACGCATAAGGGTCTATATAAAGTGCTATATAAACCACACATTCATTACCTGCCATCTCTAGACCTCAGCTAGAACACGCTCTCGTGTTTGTGTCACGGTTGACCTTAAAAACTAAGCCCTTCAAAAAAATCATATTCAAATACACAGCTCAACATCCAACCTACTTATGCAAACTAAAGCAAACAAACTGGTGTTATTTGTCCTCTCAATCGACTTCTTTCCAGCAGTAACCTAATTTAATTTGCAGTTGTTGACACAGAACGAGCCGGTGGGGCAGATACACTCAAGAGCTTAATTCAAATCAAAGTTTAACTGCTAATGAGGTCACAGCAGGTGAGTGAATCGTAAAGTTACAGTTTTTTTTTAAATATCTACTTTGTCTCGCTGGGACCTTGCCCTAATTCAGTCATTTAAACGCAACAGAAAGACAGAAACCACCCAGTAGCATTTTATGACTTCCAGAATAAAATATGCGACTCCTTTAAATCCCTGCAGTTTGGGAGATATCGCTGCTCTATCTCTCTTTTACTGAAGTAATGTTGCAGCAAGAAATTACACAAATACTTTCAAGTGTTGTTTTTGTGCTCTCCATGAAAAAGAGGAATACAAATATGTACAAAAACCTGCTTTAATTGTTGCTTTCCTGCCTGTACTCTTCTCTTCTGCGGTTTTGGATAAGCTTTGACAACTCTGAGTAAATTGCCTATTCATTATCTGGATGACTAGGCTTAGCTTTGGAGTGAATGTTCGGACCAATATATATGAGCATGACACAGATATATTATATTGTGCGACATCGAGCAATATTTAAAAATAAATGGTGGCATAAACGACTTTGAAGTCATATAGAAATGATGGCACCATTACATTTCCCAATCAAATTCCTCCTCTTTATGATAAAAACTTTAAATCAGTCTTTTAAAACCAGTAATACAAATTCTAGGAACATTTTCAAAAGGAGAAGACAAGGAGGACAAGGGTCAGAGTGAAGAAGAGAATTTGTTTCACATTCATTTCCCAGTGAGGTACAAAGGGACAGAAGAAATTAAAAAAGGTACTTAAATATTTGTACGTGTAAAAATGCAACTGAAATTCACAAACAGAAATCTAAATCTGCACTTGCAACCACCCTACATTCGCATAGCAACAAGCACGCAAACACTCATATCTCTTTAAAGCAAACACACACACAAAAAATATTCAACTTGTACCGCCCTGGCTCCTGTGATATCTAACAGAGGAACAGGCAGGAGACTCTACCTGAAACCCTGTGGCTTTCCAAAATAAGCCAGTTATAAAGCCTCGCAGGGGAAGCTGGGTAAAGCCACTTCTGTGTGCTTGCAGGGGTTCTAATGAAACCCACCAGCAGACAGTTATCAAGTGGAAAATGTACCCTATATACCCTTCAAAACGGACTGAGGATGGCATCAATAATTTGCCTTCTAGCCTGTTTAGAAAGCTTGGATCATCCTAGTTCCTGGTTTAGAAGCCTGTTTACATATTTAATTTCAATCCATTATGCATTAAGACATGGCTCCGAGTAACTCTTGGGAGAAAGCTATTGAGCAGACTAGTGTGAGTGTCATGTGCATAAACACAGGCTGAATAGTGATTCATAAAATGTGTGTGTGCACTAACACTGACCACAGCTGTTTGTGTGTGTGAATGTCTGAACAGTGGATATAAACACACAGAGAGAGTATGTGTAAGCATGCGTGTGCTTTTGATGAGCATGTATCAATCTAAGGATTTTTACGTAACGAGACTGGCCGGGCATGGTGTGTGTTTGAGTCACCCCATAATGATCCACATAGCCTTTATTCAAGGGGCCCGTTGCCATGGCAGCCGCTGCATCAATAGCTCAAGATGTGTGGATGCATCTTTCTTTCAGAAGCGTGTGTCATAATCAAGTCACGTTTGTCACAACTCCCCAAATATGACTCAATCCACCCGTCTCCCTGGAGTTTTAAAGCATTGAAATATGACAGGGTATGATCATTGAACATTAGAGTGGTTCAATAACATATGCTAAATACTTTGAGAGACACTTCAGTGCATACAGCTGTCTCTCTGCTTCCCTTTCCCTCTGCCTATCCGCTGCAACCCTAATGCAGATAAATATAACTTGTGGTCACCATTCTCAGAAGTGAAGGTTGTGAATAGGATGTGGAGTGAACAAAACTTAAATAAAACAGACAGATGAATAAAAACATCTGGATCAGCACATTCCTGCACACATAACACTTAACAGACTGAATACCAGCAGCAACATAATTTACTCTGTGTAAGAATACAAAATGTTCCTCACAAGACTTTGCCGTACATACGCACATGATGTGTGAATGAGTGATTCATTCAGCTATATTCTACAACAGCATGTTAGTCATCTATGCAAACGTTATCACTCATCCACATACTGACTGAACACATGGAGAGGCAGTCGAGTTGGTGTAAGCTGGAAAGCTGCCACTGGACTCTTAACCATGCAGTCTTATTTATCTCTATCTGAACTGCTATTGGATGGATTGCTATGAAATTCTTTTACATACATTCAAGGAAGCCTTAGGATGAATTGTAATACTTTGCTGTTCCTCTGATTCCCCAACTAGTGCCACCATGAGGTTCACATTAGTGGTTTTATGTGTAATGCTTCAATGTTTTTGTATTGATTGTTGAGAAAATTGCAACAGACATTCATGTCTCCCTCACGATGAAATATACACAGCTTGTCTGGTGGCGTCTCATTAGCCTCAGCTGTTACTCTGTGTCTGATGCTTATTAGAAAATAATGGTATTCGTACAGCCTCACAGACATGCCAGCATGGATTTAGACTGTCTTGTTTCAACCCGGAAAAAATAACCTAGGAATAATTTTTGTTTATGACAACCTTGCTAAAATGGTCTTAATTGACTTGGTGTCAAGAAAAATGAGCACAAACACTTTCAGAGCGATTTTAAAGACACAACCGGGTTAGCCAAAGCAATTGGGAAGAAAAAGCAAAGGCACACGAAAAATGTATCTCAAAACTGAGTCTCACATATAAGATAATACAATAAATAGACTGAGCTGCAATAAGGTGGAGGTGTTTGTAGTATATATTAGTATTTAGAAGGCAATAGGTAGTTGTATAGCAGTCTACAAAGGCTTTTGAAACATTATTAAAGAAGACTTAAAAAAGGCTATATTACAAGGTTGTTAAATAAATTAACACAATTAAACCTCTGATGATATCACAATTTGTACATCGCTACCCAAGATGTACTAAACCCAAATTATATTTGACAATTGAGATCATAAAGTTTCTCTGTGGGTCAAAATATACGACTAACCTTCTGACTGAGGATTTGTCTTGTTTCAAGGAAAGCCTGTGTGTGTGTGTGTGTGTGTGTGTATTCCGAGCACCTTGTCATCATCTTCCGAGAACTTCAGATGACTCAGAGATGGACAGCCTTGAGGCTTATTGATCTCTCTCACACACACACACACACACACACACACACACACACACACACACACACACACACACACACACACACACACACACACACACACACACACACACACACACACACACACACACACACACACACACACACACACACACACACACACACACACACACACACACACACACACTACACACACACGACACTACACGTACTACACTACACTACACACGACTACACACACGACACACGACACACACACACACACACACACACACACACACACACACACACACACACACACACACACACACACACACACACACACACACACACACACACACACACACACACACACACACACACACACACACACACACACACACACACACACACACACACACACACACACACACACACACACACACACACACACACACACACACACACACACACACCCCTTAAAAATGAGCTCAAATGTAATTGAGAGACACAGCGGCTCAACACACCACGAGCAGGGCTGAAAATGCTAATTTCATCAACATGTTTTCCTGTGATCGACACACACTGCTCCAGGGAACCATTTCAGAGCAAACAACACATGTTTCTCAGGTGTCTGTGTTTGTCTCAATATCCTATGTAAGTCATCATGAGTGTTTACTATAGCGTGGGTGGCCGTGTATCAATTCCCAATCTGTGACTGTGGCATCTCCTCACAGCCTCCTTACGGTGTAAATGGAACTTTGTTATCGAGCTTGCTGCTGTCAAAGCTCATTATGTAAGAGCAGGTGATCTGCAGCAACCTGGTTCAGTTGTGTGAGTGTGTGTTTATTTTACACTCAGGCTGATAGGACACAGAGCCCCTGTTTTTTTCAGAAGAACCTTTTCTGTCCACACTTCCTTTATTTCCTCTCCTCTTTTCCACTGTTTATTTTTTTTGTCTACTCCATCTGATATTTCTCCATTTCCTGCCAAGTCTCTTTCTCCTCAGTAAATACTATTTGCAGAGTTTGACCACAAAACATAAACAGGGCCATTAAACAGGCCATTTTCGCCCCACTTATATCACACACATTTACAATTCTTTCATTGTTTTAATTGCCCTAATGTCCTGTTTGCACTAATGTGCTGCCAAAACCAATAGCACTCATCTAACTGGGCTGCACTCCAG